ACATATAATATATACATATATATACATATATATACATATATATATACATACACATATATACACATATATATATACATATATATATATACATACACATATATACACATACATACATACACACACACACACACACACACACACAAATGATAATAATGAACTTTATTTGTATAGCACTTTTCATACAGGAAATGCAGCTGAAAGTATGTTATAACACAGAAATTACATGCACCGAGTGCTTCACATGAAAATAGACTTAGAGTGACTGCAAAAGCATGGATGGAATGCCATAATTAATGTAAAATAAGGTTGAGAGTAAACCCCATTTGATGATGATAATAAACATAAAATAAGGCCAATTAAAGCATTTTACAAGAAGTACAGCAGTGCATAATTGTGAAGCAAAAATAGTATCAGGAACGTCAAAGCTACAGTGAGGAAAATAAGTATTTGAACACCCTGCTATTTTGCAAGTTCTCCCACTTGGAGAGGTCTGAAATTGTCATTGTAGGTGCATGTCCACTGTGAGAGACATAATCTAAAAAAAACAAAATCCAGAAATCACAATGTATGATTTTTTTTAACTATTTGTATGATACTGCAAATAAGTATTTGAACACCTGAGAAAATCAATGTTAATATTTGGTACAGTAGCCTTTGTTTGCAATTACAGAGGTCAAACGTTTCCTGTAGTTTTTCACCAGGTTTGCACTACAGGAGGGATTTTGGCCCACTCCTCCACACAGATCTTCTCTAGATCAGTCAGGTTTCTGGGCTGTCGCTGAGAAACACGGAGTTTGAGCTCCCTCCAAAGATTCTCTATTGGGTTTAGGTCTGGAGACTAGCTAGGCCACGCCAGAACCTTGATATGCTTCTTACAGAGCCACTGCTTGGTTATCCTGGCTGTGTGCTTCGGGTCATTGTCATGTTGGAAGACCCAGCCTCGACCCATCTTCAATGCTCTAACTGAGGGAAGGAGGTTGTTCCCCAAAATCTGGCAATACATGGCCCCGGTCATCCTCTCCTTAATACAGTGCAGTCGCCCTGTCCCATGTGCAGAAAAACACCCCCAAAGCATGATGCTACCACCCCCATGCTTCACAGTAGGGATGGTGTTCTTGGGATGGTACTCATCATTCTTCTTCCTCCAAACACGGTTAGTGGAATTATGACCAAAAAGTTCTATTTTGGTCTCATCTGACCACATGACTTTCTCCCATGACTCCTCTGGATCATCCAAATGGTCATTGGCAAACTGAAGACGGGCCTTGACATGTGCTGGTTTAAGCAGGGGAACCTTCCGTGCCATGCGTGATTTCAAACCATGACGTCTTAGTGTATTACCAACAGTAACCTTGGAAACGGTGGTCCCAGCTCTTTTCAGGTCATTGACCAGCTCCTCCCGTGTAGTTCTGGGCTGATTTCTCACCTTTCTTAGGATCATTGAGACCCCACGAGGTGAGATCTTGCATGGAGCCCCAGTCCGAGGGAGATTGACAGTCATGTTTAGCTTCTTCCATTTTCTAATGATTGCTCCAACAGTGGACCTTTTTTCACCAAGCTGCTTGGCAATTTCCCCGTAGCCCTTTCCAGCCTTGTGGAGGTGTACAATTTTGTCTCTAGTGTCTTTGGACAGCTCTTTGGTCTTGGCCATGTTAGTAGTTGGATTCTTACTGATTGTATGGGTGGACAGGTGTCTTTATGCAGCTAACGACCTCAAACAGGTGCATCTAATTTAGGATGATAAATGGAGTGGAGGTGGACATTTTGAAGGCAGACTAACAGGTCTTTGAGAGTCAGAATTCTAGCTGATAGACAGGTTTTCAAATACTTATTTGCAGCTGTATCATACAAATAAATAGTTAAAAAATCATACATTGTGATTTCTGGATTTTTTTTTAGATTATGTCTCTCACAGTGGACATGCACCTACGATGACAATTTCAGACCCCTCCATGATTTCTAAGTGGGAGAACTTGCAAAATAGCAGGGAGTTCAAATACTTATTTCCTCACTGTAGCTAAAGTGAAGAGATTGTTTTTTGCTAGTTATCTGGCTTCCCCGATCTCTACAGGTTGTGTTCAATAGCTTTGGGGCTAATTTTCAAAGACTGCACCCTGATTTTCTTTTCTTTGGGAATCTCTTATAAACCAGCGGCAGATGATCGCAGTGTTCATGAATGTGGAGGAGGACCTTGTGATCTCCAAGACTGACAGAACACTTAACAGTTTAACACAGTCATATACACCAACCAACTTTTCAAGAGGATTTATTAAGATCATGATCAGTCGTATCAAACACTGCGCTTTGGTCTAAGAGGGCAAGAACAGAGACCTATTTTCATCGTTTCAGTCTGAGGTCACTGATTATTTTAGCAGAGCAGTGTCAGTGTTCTAAAGCCTGATTGAAATGCTGTAGCGAGGAGTTCCACTCAGTGACAGTCTTGCAGAGCTCAGTTAATGTAATACAGGTCAATGTTTCCATGGTTGCATCTTTCTGACAGAGTTTGCTGAGGTCTTTACATCAGCCATAGTGCTGCCTCTAATTGCAGGTATTTTGTTATTAAAGAACAACGTTCTTCACAACTTCAGAGAACTGCTGATGGGTGGGAGCAGCGTTGAGAAGCTGGCATTTTCTGTATATTCTTCTAAATGTAATCCTTGTAACCATGAAAGGATTCATTAACACTCTTACTTACAGAAGAGCTTCTGTCAGCCGACCTCTCTTTAAGCTTTAGTGGAGCAGCAGCATTTAAAGCAGTGCACAATGTGTTGTTGAAATGTTCAACCATGTCTTTTGAACAGCAGTTACAGCTGTTTGACACAAGCAATCTCATAATATTAGAGAACTTTGCCTTACCATCTAGGATTCTCTGTTGAACAAGATATTGGCGTCCAAAAACACACACTGTGGGTCAGAAAGAGATCATTCTAATACAGAAACATTGTCAGTGTTTAACCCTGGTAAGTCTATAAGGTTGCCATGCTGATGAGCGGAGCTGTCCAGTAAATTCACGAGCTCCTTTGCCTTGGAGTCATCCTAGAATATTCAGGTCTCCATTCAGGATTAATCATATCTGGTGATATCAAGTGAGGTGAGCTCTGAGAATTCCTGCAGTTACAGCGATGAATATCTTGGAGGCTGATATGTAATGCTGAGCACTAATAGTTCTGCTTTGAGCTCGGCAAGAGATTCAAATTATATAGATTCACCCAAGTCAATGTCATTTCACACAAATGGCAGACTGGCAGATTATAGATTACAGTTTGGTCTGGATCCATTAATGTTATGTACACTAACCACTTGATTAGAAGAAAATGGCAAAGAAGAAATATGGACACCAGATGAAATGTGGAGTGATTCACCCTGTCTGCATCTTCAATTTAAAGTATTTAGGCCATTTTGGTCATTTACAGTATGTATTAAATTGGTGTTAAAATATTTGTGACTTCTGGGGCTAATATTTAATATTTTTTTTCCAACAAGGGTGGACTTGTGTTTGCGCCTTTGTTCGTGCTTTTTCAAGACCAAAGACCAAGAATCCCTGTTTCAGCTGTCAAGCTACTTTTTACTGAGATCATATACTGTATGTAAAATACATTTTTTAATTCAACTTTCACAAAATACAGTGCAACAGTGAGACCACCTGGAATATTACAGTATAACTTGAAGCCTGTGCTCATTGTGTTTATGTTAGAGTTTTTGTGTGCATTGTTCATATTTACATACTTTTTCGAAGTAAACGTCATTGGGAAAATTCAGTACATTCTTTCAGCACATTCAGAGATGTTTTGGATTGCATCTGTGTGAAACAGCATTGGGACGTAACTTTCTAGAGTAGGGGTGGCCAAGCTTTTCTGACTGTGGGCCAGATACAGACAATTAGAAGAAGAAGAAGTCACTGAAATTTTCAGCATTTCAGCATCTTTTTGGTTGCATCATGTTGAATCAGCTGAGGTAAGTGTTCATCAACTAATCCATCATTGTAGATCAGGTAGTCGTCGAAATGGTAGCACCTCTAATGATCTGACTAAGGAGTGCAAGGTAGATCCATTGAAATTCATTAGAAATAAGCTTGAGCTATATGCTAGTTTCTTTTAAAAGTTCACAACGGGGAATTTAAAATCCAGCTGTGGGCCACAGTTTGCCATAATTTGGCGACCCCTGCACTAGAGCATGGGGGACATTTGGATAAGAATTACTGCAACAAGTCATTCAGATTAATAGGAAGATCAAAAGTTCATAAGCTGTCCTTGTGCTGCTGCTCACTGTGCAGGAAACCACAACATTGTTACAGTCCAAGAAACCTGTGCAAAAATATATATTCTATTCTATAGCCACATTGTATTTTAATTTGAGAAGGAATTTAGTTGCTGACAGAAAAGGATGGAAGATGTGGGCTAAAAGACTTGTGAACATTATCAACATTATACGATCAACATTCGTAGGAGGGTTTAAAAAGTCACAATGTACACAGAAATATGTTACTACAAAGACAAAAATAGAGGAACCAACTCGCCTTCATCCCAAATGCAACAAATTACACAATCTTTTACACTTAAAAAGTCTCTTAAAATAAATACATATTGCTTCTATTGCACGTGTTGAAAAATACATTCAGAGTACAATCTTTCTTCAGTGACTTCAAAGGACATAAAACCTGCCAGTGACCTTGCAACAGACAGGAGGACCATCTGAGAATAGATGCAGATATATGGAGATCAAACAGGCACATAACTGTATCAGCAGCACAATGCCCGTTAGGCTTTCCACACTTACACAGTCAGAGACGCATCTTACACTTTATAAATCATATCCACACACCTCACTATCTCTCAAAACTAACAGGGAGTATATTCCAAATGTTTCCTGGTAGAGGATAGTATAAGAGAAACAATACTGTGACTAAACTAATACACTTTGATACAATCTATATCCTATGATACCACATATGTGATTTACAGTACTGACAGGTTACATGGGTAATACACTGTAAACACTGCTTACAGTTATTCAGATATTGTATTTATTGTTTAAACTGTATTGATGAGGCGCTCACTCCCTCACACATACGGCACACGTTACAATACGACAGAGCTGAGGAGGAGATATGAAGTAGAGCCAGAAAGCAAAGCGCACCAGACGGGACACGGCAACAAGAGTAAAGCTAATAACTAATTCATCACATATTTCAAAAGTATGGTCACTAATGTACGACGTAATTCTGGAAATTGGTCCACGGTTGTGCACAAAGATAAAGCGTTGGAGACGTGTGCAGCAGGCCTACAGCAGGCTGTCCAGGTACTTCTGAGCGCTCTCCTTGTCGTAAGCACTAGCAGGCTGCCTGTAATTGTCGTTGTAGTGCTGCAGGATGGTGACTACATCGTGGTGGCCGAAGAGCACTGCTTCATCTATCGGCGTTTTCCCCCACCTGCACAAAGAAAAGGTTAGTATGTCAAGAAGAACTCTGGCTTTTGGCAAAAGTGTTCCCCAATAAAGACGCCACCTGCTCTAGATTTCCCTCGTCACCAGCACCACTAACACATGTTGTGGTCGTGCCTTTCATTAAATCAAGTGACTTCTCAAACTCAATATTTCAAGCGTTCTCACAAAGTAAAGCCAAATCCATATATAGCAGTCCTATTAGTCTGACCTTATTATAGTCAAAATGCTTTTGAAATTGCATTTGACTCGCTGCATGTTGTCCATTACTTCTATTCTGTGTTTTAGTTATATTTGTTTTAAAGTCTGTGTATATGGAATATATGTGGCCTACTGCTTATTTAGTGGCCTACATTGGTAGTTGCTTGTAGATATACAGTATAGTATGAACAGGCTGCATGCTACACTCACGTTCAGAGTGACTCAATACTTATATCAGAATCAAAGTGTCAATAAAACGTTCAGAGGTTGCACACCTCTGGAGGGACACATTAGTGGATGCTGTGTTGGGAATCACACCCAGGTCTCTCACACCAAAGGCATGTGTCTTGCTTCAAATAGATAAGTTACAGTATTATTATATTTGTGGCCTTTTTTAAGTTAGCGTTTTCTGTTTTTAATACATAGTAATTGCAGTCCTCTGCATGGATTGCTTTCAAAACAATCTATTAGTGCAAAAGGTGCACAGAAACTTTTGAAATGGTGAAAATGACCAAACTGACATACTTTTCACAATCATTTTCTTATTATCATAACTGTGGAAACTGGAACTGTATTAACCATGTCTTAAAAATAGAAATAAAGGTACTTAATAATCTTATTATCCATGTACAGGAAGTGTCTGTAGGTTAATTTTCACATTTACCAAATCAAAAAGATCAAAGGTTGTTATGAAATGTCCATGTAAGCATATGATATGTGATAAACGGGCATTATAATTGTCATTATAGTCCCTCAGAAAGAAGTAGGGTCTGAATTGAACCCTGGTGTGTTAACAGAAGGAAGGCGGGACAATCACTACACCTCCTGCTTCAAAAGATCCAAACTGCAGCTTATGAGAACAGCTTGAAAAGACATAGATGGTGAGAAAGAGCACTCTGATGACTGGACTCACCTGTCTCTGGGTACTGGGTTCACCTTGCAAGCCTCCAAGAGGAAGCGTACCACCTCTGTGTGTCCTGAAAGCAGAGCAGGTGTTAGAAACACAAAGCATACACGTACCAACGAGTGCTGTGAAGACTCTAACTGGCCGGGATCTTGATATGCCACACCTGTGGCAAAGGAGAAGTTCTCACTTACACAGATTTGGACAGATCTGTGAACAATATTTGAGAGAAATAGACCTTTTGTGTTCATAGAGAAAGTCTTAGATCTTTGAGTTCAGCTCATGATGAATGGGGGCAAAAACAAAAGTCTTGCGTTTATAATTTTGTTCAGTGTATGTATCCTGCAGCAATAACATGGCTCACATTTGAAAATAAGGCTCTCAGACTGCACCATGAAAAACAGTACAGGTCCAATGTATACAAAATATGTGGACAGTGTTGTATATTCTTTGATACTTTTATTTTTAATCAGACACAAACCTGCAATATCAATCTCAAAAAAGATGAACAGGTTAACTTTAGGCTGCACATTACCTTCTGCTGCTGCTACATGGAGGGCCGTTCTAGAGTCGTAGTCCCTCTGCTCCATGTCCATGGATGACAGCGCAAACCTACACACACAATGTTTATGTAACTTACTTTGTAAGTACCTTCAGTTATTGCATTCTTACATACATCTTATCAGCCAGTTTAGGTTTGTCTCCAGACTGAAACAATACAATGCAATGTAAGGAAGTTTACCATCACTGCCATACATTCTTTCCTTCCACTTAAAGGTTCCTTGTGCAGTTTTAGACATCTAGAAGAGCTCCGGAGCTGTTTATTTATGAGTGGGACCCTGTTTTGTTTGTCTTGTGCACACACTCAGGAGCAATACACATTCCAATGGTTAAACAGAATTCCCCTGACCTACAGGTGGCAGTGATGCACCAAGAAACACAGCAAAGACTGGAAAGAAGAAGTTGGCATACTAATAGAAATGGATAATAGTGGATTTAAAATGTTGTTTAAAATCTGCTTTGTAAATGTTTTCAGACTATCAGTTGTTCGCTATCAGTGTTACAAGGATAAGCATTTTTAAATTTTACTGTAAATTGTCTGCTATGTAGCAGAAGGGTGTGCCAATTGAGGTCACCAGAGTGTAAAGCTGCCTTACGCAGCCACGAGAGGAGAGGGATTTTCACCACTTTTCAATCTTTGCAAGGATCAGTAAAACAATCCTTTACACATACTGTAAGAGTGGACTTCAATGGGTGACAAAAAGAGACAAATAAGCCTGAAGTCTTCTGTAGCCAATATTACAAGTTAGTGAGTGGGAGCTGCTCACCTCCTCAGGGCAGAGACGTCTCCTGTGTAGGCAGCAAACAGCAGGTTGATGACAGACTTGACCTGAGAACAGGGATGGGCAGAGAGAGAGAGAGAACATTTGCAGAAGGATTTCAGAGTCACCCTATTTTCACTCCCGCTCCACCAACTCCAGCAGCTACAACAAAACCACTACCAAATACATGATGAATGTTACACTTTTAATTTCTAAGCAGCAGATGAAGCATCTATAGTTTTCTTACTGTCAACAAATCCTATGAAACCAAACCAAACCAACATGTGTTAGTCCGTCATGTCAATCCCAAGGACATTTGTTCCTAATGAAGATGTACATTTTCAAATAACTGCTTAAGTTTTATTTTTTAAAAAGCCTCAGCAATTTCCCATAACAGCTGACAGCTTGTATATTTGTGGGGCACTATTCAGCTGTGGATGAATCCACATTTGGTGCTCTGGTGAGGGCAGCAGGACGGTGAATGTGGGACTGGGTCAAAAGAAACTACAGTGTGTGAGTTCATGGTGATGAAGGATAATGTGAGGCTCACTGACTGGCTTTTAACAGCCATGGAGCTCTACGGCACAGAGGGAGAATAGATATCAGGCTGTGCTCCAACACATTTTCTAAAAGGATCAATTCACTGTTTATTTTGATCTTTTCATGGGATTTGTTGACGATCAGATCTGGTGAAAATGTACTTATTTAATCATAAAATATAATGCATCTCAGACGACTGCCACTGCAGACATGTTACATCTATGCAATTATCAAAACAATTCAACAAACATGGACTCTCTGCATCAGTTAAGACTTACCATCAAATAGGAATGAATCATTTCCTATAAGCAAAACTCAAGGACTTCAAAACATACACAGAAACAATGGACATGTGAAAAAAATGAGAATAGAAACTAGCCTGTATAGAAATACCAATACAGGCTAGTATCTGAACAAAGTTATTACACTTTTCTGAGTAATATTTTACTATAGCTTCATTTCCAGGGAAAGTAGAATTAATATAAAGAGAGATGCTAAATTGAGAATTTGTATTATAAAGTGCGGCAAAAGTAACACCCATTAAAATATTCTAACTTCCACCAGTTCCAACTCTCAACAAGCAAGCTGAAACAAAACATCAAAGCTGATGTAAAGCTTAGACATTATGAGCACAAACTGAGACAGAAGGGACCACCAAAGACAAAAACTATTACAAAGCCTTATTTCACCCAGATATTAGAAACAGATTCAGGCTGCGAAACAAGGCCTGCATTGAAAACATGTCCCAGCACCTTTCGGAAGCGAACGCAAAGCCAGGGCCAGATGAGGCTGGATTCTTACATCCCTCTATCCTTGCGCTTTGGCTAATGTCAGGTTGATTTATGTTCCAGTTAGTTCTTGTGTTTTTTCCTTGAGCGCTCCCACATTTATTGTGTCTTTTAGTACTACTTGTTGTAGGCCTACAATAAACTCCCTTTAATTGGCTTTTCCTCAACAAAAGTGCTGACAAGAATAATTTCCTCTGACTGTTAATTGACTTGACTTGTAGGCTGCTGTGACTTCTTGTGTTCAGGGGAATCAAACTATGTCCTTTTATGTCACGACCACTTGAGTTGCTTAATTCACTATTTCTGTCCAACTTTTGAAGGGACAGCAATTAAGTGTTTTAGTAGCAAACAGAAGTATTCAGTCAGTCTGAAGGCATCTCTAAAAAAAGAGAAGGTGCGTGTTGTTGTTAAAGAACAGTTATGGGTGGAGAAATGAGATGATGGATAACAATGCTTTATTAGAGTTCATACAATCGACACCAAGGCTAAAA